TATATCATGGTTCTGTAGAGCTGCAGGACTTTATGTTGCAGAGAAACATGAACCTCAGTGAAGAACAACCCCAACACTGAAAGGTTGAAGTGACAGCTGAGCTAGAAAGACGCTGAAATCATCAACAAACTTTCAGCTCGAGCAGCTTCTCACCTTGTAGCTGCCGGCGGTGTAGTTGAGCTTCTTCAGGGACGTCTGGTAGCGGTACGGCATGTCGTTGCGGCGGCTGAAGAACACCAGAGCGCTGGCCTTGTTGGACAGCGGCCGCAGGAACACCTCGATGCCGTTCTTCTCCTGGCAGAAAGAAAATTACACGAAGAATGAGTAAAAAAGAAATGTCAAAACTTGCAAGAAGCGTGGAGATGATTTACCTTCACGATGCGTCGTCCCTGGACGCCCATCGGGTCCTGGTTGATGGCGATGACCACCTTGTTCTGCAGGATTGCGCGAGCGTCGTTGCTGATGAATCGCAGGTCGTTGGACATGAAGAGGGGCGCCGCCATGATGGCCCACAGAGCCATCTGAGACCGAGACTGGTCCGTGCTGAGGCCGAAGTCTCCCACGACCAGCTGTGGACGCAAGATGAAGTCAAACCGTAGAGTTTCAAACCTCCAAGAAATAATAATCACAAGATGTTCAAGCATCCCGACAACACCAGGAGGAGTTTCTAACCTCGCCGACAGACCAGAAAGTAAACAGCTTTTATATCCGTTAAACAAACCATGTCAGGGTCGTTCCACCGTCCAGGTCCTGCTGCAGGAGCCAGAGTGTCCTGGTTGGCGAAGAACCAGTCCGCGATTGCCAGAACGCTGTCCCACGAGTCCTGGATGTCGCCGTAGTTACGCCACAGGTTGCAGATCTCGCCCAGCTGAGTGTAATTTACCTGAAAACGTTGGATTTTCAGGTATTATGCTTGAAAAACTTGAAAAAGAACTTCAAAAATAACCAAGCATAAAGACACGTTGCTTCACATCGCACTCTGTCTCATGTGAAAACTAAAAATAACTTTGGGAAAAACTGCAGATAACTCCAAGAATCCTTTTCCACCGGCTTGACCCAGTTAGAAGCAGCTCCCTGGTCTGTGTCGTCGCTGTATTTCCTCTTTTTCTTTGATATTTCCATCATATTCAGCCAAAAATATGCATAACTTGTGATTTTCGGGTGACTTTCGTCGTTGCCAGAGTAAGTTTCACCACTCAGCAGCCGTCTTAGCAACACCCCTGAGCAGCTATTTCAAGCTAAAACAATAAGAAGAGAGTCATAACTGCTATTTCAAAGAATACAAGGACATAAAAACTGCATCCTTGTCTCCTTGTGCGGTGCTGCTCTGCTCCCAGAGCTCCTGCAGCACTTGTAACTCCTTATCTTTAGCTCAGCGGTAAGTTTCAGACGTGCTGACTGTACCTTTGGTGGCAGGCCTCCCTGGTAGGCCGGCCAGCTGCAGGAGTAGCCGATAGGACGTCCGGTGGCGTTCAAGGCCTTGGACATCAGAGGGTAACCTGTGAAGACCAAGGATCGGTCAGTTCCGTGTTCATAAACCAGGCGTAGACGTAACTCCTCCGGGTCGTACCTTTCTCCTGCTCCGAGGAGTTCGAGTAGCAGCCGTCGTATTTCAACATGTCCACTTCCCAGTCGGCGAACGTCTGAGCGTCCAGTTCGATCTTGTCCAGCGGCGTTCCCGGGTAGCCGCCGCAGGTGAGGGTGCCCATGTCGCCGTAGATGCCCAGCTTCAGGCCGCGGTCGTGCATGTAGCGCGCCAGCTTATGGATTCCACTCGGAAACCTGAGAGGGTCGGCAAGGACAAAGTAAGATACGATACGATATTAAACAATACGATACGATACCAAACAATAAGATACGATACGATGACATGAGATACGATATGATGAGATACGATACAATCCTAAACAATGAGATATGATGACATGAGATATGATGCGATGAGATACGACACGATGAGATACGCTAAAATATGATACTATACAATACGATGAGAGACAATATGATATGCTACAATGAGATACGATGAGAAACGATAAATCAAGACAAGATGAGATACGATATATGAGCAACTCATATTGCAGATTACAGTGATGTCACTGTTCAGATGTCAGTGTTTGGTGACTTCCTGTTGCATCTGCATCCATCAAATATGAAGAAAATGTAGTTTACAGGACAGTAAGTTGATTTCTTTCATTTCTAAGGACCTGTTCTTATCATGCCTGGTTGTTATTGCTAACGTAGATCATCCAGTTTGCATTTTACTGCCGGCACTACATGAGCATGTGACACATAAAAACTGTGAGTCCGGTCGGTTCACAGGTCGGCGTCCTTATCGCGCTGATCCTGCAGGTAATAAACCCACTCAGGTGTTGTGTTGTCACATGACTGCGGTTCGTTGACCTGATTAGTGTTTTGTCGGTTCCAGGAATTATACCGCACCTCTTGGGGTCGGCCTGCAGGCGTCCCTGCTTGTCCCTCTCCATGGACGACCAGCAGTCGTCGATGTTGACGTAGACGTAGCCGAGATCCCTCCAGCCGTCCTTGACCAGCCAGTCGGCCATGTCGGTGAACAGGCGCTCACTGGGACAAGGACAGCAACAAACCGGGTCAGATCTGCCCCAGACATCTCCCCAAAATACCCAAAAGACACCTACTGCCAGCTGTGTTTATTTCACCACCTAGCATTAGCTTGTGCTAGCTGTGCCACATTAGCGTCTGATATTAAAAACTCATAAAAACAACTTCTTTCTCGCTAAAGGACGAGTTGACTTCACTGAGATCTGGAGGCTCTAAAGAGCTCCATCACACTTTCTGGAAGTTAAGTTTTGGGTTAAATATTGCTGCTTTTGCTGCATTTAATCCATTTTTTCTGCCTTAAGCTTGAACGAGGCTCTCTTTATGTATTTCACAGAAATCTCTGCATTGTTTTGACCATTTGACAAACAGAAACTATCGATCATGTTGAGTAAATGAAACCCGAATTATCAAAACTGGTTAAATCTAAAATATTGTTCTTTTGTTCTCAATGCTTGGAGTTTTGCTTCCAGTTCAAATCTCCTGGAAAAGCAACAAATTGAAATAAGGCCATGAAACCACTATAATACCTGTAATATATGATTTTCTTGATATTTCTGATAATCTCATGAACAAACATTATTTATTATTCTGAATAAATTTAAACCTCAATCAACAAAACGGTTTAAAATGTTTAAAATATTCTTATTTAATTCTCACTTCTTATAGCTTTGGTGCTAAAATCTGTTTAAGAGGCGCAAAAAAAAAAAAAAAAAAGTCTCACATGCAGGAAAAAATTTATTTTATATGATTTTAGCAAACCTTAATGTGAAAACAAGGCATTTTTAACAACAAAATTCTGATTTCAGAATTACTTTTATAATACCTCTGTTAGTCCTGCAACAACTATTCTATTGGTTGTACTTTAATAAATTATATACCAAGTATTTTGAAAATCAATTAATTAATTTGAGGAACTTTTAAAGAGAAAATAACTTCATTGAGCTTCTTCAATGTGAATATTTTCTGGTTTTTTTGACAAAATTAGATGAAAATTATGTATATGATGGATTTAAAAATGGCAAAAGGTTGTTTTTTGTTAAATTGCAGATAATATTTAATAAAATGACAGAAAACAAAAGTATTAATTTAAATTTTCACCATTAAATAAAAACAAAAAATAAAAACAAACAGGTCGAGACTGCAAATTATTCCACATCAAATATCTGCAATTTTAAATACAAGAATTCAGGCTTTTGATCATTGTTTTATTTTTTGTATTTATGTCAGAATTTTTTTTTTTTAACAGATATTAATATTTTATTTTATTTTATTTTATTTTTTTTATTTTTGGAATATTCTTCCCTTTTTAAAAAATATTTTTTCCCCCTTGCTGCCAGATTTTTCCTTTATTTTTAGGAATATCTTTTTTACAGTGTCTGTCTCTGTAACCTGTTAAATTCTTCTCAATAACAGCTTTAAATAAATACTAAACATCTGCACAGCAGGTTTCAAAGGCAGGTTCCTCTTTAATATGTGGTTCTGTTGGGACCTTTCTCGTCACATAAACATGACGTTCGATCTAAATCACTTCAATCTACACGTTTAACTCTCAAACTACTAAAATAACAGAAACAGAAGCCACCTGATGCAGTTCATGGGGTCGTTGTCACAGTCGATGTCGCAGCGGAACCGTTCCCACGCCAACCATCCCATCGGAGGGGTTCTCATGAGGCCGTTGTCGAGGCCGAAGGCGGCTCCGGAGAGAACCGAGGTCAGAGCGAGCAGCAGCAGCAGCTTCATCTCTGCAGGAAAAACAAAAAGCCAGAAAAACGTGAAGATCTGAAGGTTTCTGTTGGTTTCTGACTCAGTCTGAGGCTGAAGTGTTGTTTCTAGTCGGGCGTGTTTTATTCATCTACTGAGAACTTCTCAGCAAACAGTAAATTCAACAACTAGAACCAGGTTTAAGTAATAATCTGGTGTTTTGTTTGTGCTGAAGTTTGATCCGATGAGGTTCCAGGTTCAGACGGTAAATCTGAATATTTACGATTATTATCAGGTTAATTTAACAATTAGAACTGTTGATTATGTCGGTTTTTACTGTTTATATCTGCAGCGGTGTGAATGTATTTATATATTATACTGAGGAGGGTCTCTAGTAAATTTTAATTATCTTTATTTCCTGTACGATCTATTTAAAAGAGACTGATTTGACTTAATATATCAGGTAGAGGTTCATTTGATGAATATTTTTACTGTAAATGGAGCAAATTACATCAGGTGCTGTGTTTAATTTTGTTATCATTAATTATTTCCATTATTAGAGTTAATTTACACATTTTATTTCAGTATTATATCTTATGGGCTTTTTTACTTTCATGTTCCGTCACTCTCCTTTGGTATAAATAAAGTTTTTGTTCCAGCTTATTGTGAGCTGACGGGACTCTATTATCTATATAATCTATAAAATATTCTATTTATTCATCGGTGATTCAAACCTGCAGGATTCTGGACGTGTGTTTATCTCAGAGGCATTCAGTGAATTCACCCGTTTGTTGCATTTAATCATTTTGAGCTACATTTCTGATGCTTTAGGATTCAGACCTCCATCCAGCAGGTGATGGATGTTGGTTTTTAAGCTGCAGTCGCTCCCAGAACCCCGACGGCCCAACAACATGCAGTTTGTGCAAGTTGGACGTCATGCAGGAGTCGTTTTTTGATTCTCTTTTTAATTAATCTGCTGCCTTTAAACCAGCTGGAAGCCTTTGAGACGGACGTACTTTTAGAGACTTTAATAACAACGAGGGGGGAAGAAAACAAGAAAATTCTGATGAACAAGTCTAACGTGAAGTTCTACTCAAGTCTTGGCACAAGCAGGACGACTGTGTTGTATCAGAGCTTTTCATCCGCCGCCGCCTGTTTAATTAGCGGTGGGATAAATATGCAGCCTGCTTAAGACCCAGAGAGCTGCTGATCTCACCTGACTGGGTGTGACCGAGCTCACCTGACAGGTAGCTTCGTCCTTTATTCTCTCTGTAACTGAACAGATCCAAACTCCTGAACCTTCAACTCCAACAACGTCTCAGGTGCACATATATACACAACACCTGAGCAAACACTCTGACAGATAACATGACCTCCTTTTAAATCAGACATTTTAACACCAAACTGCAGCTTTTTGCACAAACACAATCTAATTTATTTGACTAAATTCAGTGTATTTAAGGTCAAATCAGGATTTTAAATGCATTTTTAGAAACCATTTGACAGTCTGAGAGGCTGCAGTCACACATTCATTGAAGGAACGCGGTGGAAACATGAACTCACTGAGTCTGAGCAGCTGGACCCGGAAGCAGGAGGACGGAGGATGAGGATGGTGGAGGATGAAGGATGATGGTGGAGGATGAAGGACGCGCTCCGGTTTCCTCAGATCAGAACTTTTAGAGCAAAACTCGTGAAAAGCGGCTTTCTGCTGGATGAGGAAACGCACCGAGCTGCTGCTCCTCTGTGGGACGCTGGAGTCATGTGACCCGGTGCTGCGGTCAGCTGATCACGAAGCCGGAAGCAGAGGAGGAGGAGGAGGAACCAATCCGGGCCGCGTCTCATTTCTGTCCCGCTCCCACCTCCGGTTGTTTCCTTCGATGCTTCCTCGTTCACCGAAGCGTCACAAATTTAGTCTTTGCAAATAAAAAAATCACAATAATAATCTGAGTGGTGTCATTGGGTATTGATGGGGACACTGCAGGGTTGCCAGGTTGCGCAAAAAATCCTCCTCCTGCAGCGTTTGTCTTGTCAGTAAGTGCTTTAATTGATTATTCAAGTCTCCTAAGGATAGATATTATTGATGGTTATTATTTTAAAAAGCTTTCTAGCAGTGGTGAAAGACTCTCAGAACCTGACACATGTGATTAACGGGAGGGAAAGGAAGAAAAATGAAGGTCTGGCTTCAGTTTTTCTTAGATTTTTGCTGAGATTTTGGATCATTTATTGAAATTAATGAGGGAAAAAAACAGTATGAGACACGTGAAGTATATATTCTTCTGTTATGCATCGTGTCAAATCTTCGTCTTAAAAAAATCTGTCTGATAAATGCAGCAGAGCAGAAGTAAAGCTGTAAATATAGTGGAAACCAGCAGGATACTGGAAATACTCGAGTACCTACAAGGATTAGAGTAAATGTACTCAGTTACTCCCCACCTCTGAAAGCCACAGCAGCAGCAGCAGAACATCTTCACGTCCAGCAGGAGGCGCTCTGACACCATGAAACTACAAAAACATGCATTCTATCATAACCTGAGTTCAGTTTTAATCAAATCAAAAACATGCATCATATTATGTTTTTATTGATGTAAGTCGTGCAGATGTGAACAAAAAACCTGCAAATATAATAAATGTTGATTTTAAAGTCGTCTCATTCAGATTTTAACGGCAGATAATCAATTAATAAAACTCTACTTTATAGGTTTTACTAAATGAGGAGCTTTTAAACTGAAACATTTTCTTTATTCATGAACAAACGAGTCTTTTTAATGTTAATTGTCGGGAGTTTGCTGCTTAATTGTTGTAATATTTGCAGCAGACAGACAGATACACAGAAAGATGTTCTATTTCTAAAAGTATATGCCACATAAATAAAAATAAAATACGGTTTTAAAAGTTATTTACATTTTACTGTAGCAGGAACTGATCTTATAACTTTGGTAAAATAGAAATAAAATGACAAAAAATGCTACAACGCAGCCTGTAGTTTACTGTAAATACTTTAAGAAGCTGATTTATTGTCCTTCATGATGACAGAGAGCTTCAGAAATTAATTTAAAATGATGCTTTATTTAAATTATCAGATGATACAGAAAGTAAATCAGTAAAATAATGAAAAAAAGAGAATCTTAGTGGAATCTGGTTGTTTTTATACTTCAGATTTAACTGAAGACGTGATTCAGTTTCTAAACCTTCAGATTATTCACCTGCAGCATCCCTCCTGCATCAGAGACGCTCCTCACCTGCTGGATTGAACCTGAACTACATCTTTTCCGGAAGAAGCAGCTGCTTCCTGATTGGCTGGGCTGAAGCAGGAAGGGGAGGAGCCAGAGTCAGAGCCCAGAGCAGAACCACCATGGCAGAGAGCAGCGTGGGTAAGAGCACCTCAGGAACAAATGCACATTCAAGGCTGCAGGGGAACTTTAGACGTGACTTTGACTAACTGTGGGTCAGATTTCTGAGCAGCTGCTGTGACGAGAAACAGAAAGTTTGGTTTGTAAATGAGCTGAGAGCTGCTGACGCCTCACAGAGCTGCTGCTGAGGCCTAAAGTGAAACTAACAGACTCATGTTGCTGCAGCAGCTGCACTGAACTCAGAAAGTCTTCTGCTGTTAGTCAGGCGTCTGGCGGAGGGTCTGTTGTTCTTAGCGAGCTCAGACACACTTCCTGGTTTTAGGTTTCAGCTCAGAGGCGCTCAGGTGAGACTCACCTGCAGCTTAAAGAGGCAGCAGCAGAAAGCAGGCGAGCAGAGACGAAGGCTTTATGGTGACCTGTTACTGATTCACTCATGGAACAGAAACCTCATTGTAGAAACCATAAATACATGGAGTATATATGTGATAAAGGTTCAAACCTGTCACTGGATGCAGTTTAACTCGGCTCCAGTCTGACTGTTAAACTGGAAATAAACACATTTATGGCACAAGTTTAAAGAAAGAAGGACTCAGTCAGAATGTAAAAGTTTATTTTAATTTAACGGGAATTCAGTTGAATTATGTCTATCAAGTACTGATAGTCAGAATACTCCTCATGCAGAAGAGCGTGTTTCTAGAAATATGATTAATTTATTACATATAATCATAGTTTAGTACATGATGATTATTTAAGGACTTTAAAAAAAAAACATTTTTTTTCCTTTCTTGCTTTAACTTTTTATTTTAGTTTTTAAAAATCTTCTATAATCATGGTTTTAATTTACTATACTTTAGTGTTTTGGCTATTTATTCTACTTTGTTAATTTTTTTTAAATGTAGTTTTATTGTAATTTTTTTTTAAAAGTCTTGCATATTATTTTCTTTTTATGTTTTATATTTGTAATATTATTTTTCTTGTTACCTATGTCATTTTTATTATTTGTATTTTTGATCCATTTGCTCTCTTTTTCAATCATTTTATTGTTTTATTTTTTTGTCTTTTAAAACATTTTTATGGTATTTTTAATCTAATTTTGTATTATTTATTATTGTTTCTATTTTATGTTATGCTCTTTTTTCTTTTTAATTCTATTTTATTACTTTATTAAATAAAAAAAATAATAGTTTGTATTTTTTTAAAAAATCATTTTTCTTATTTTTATTCTTGTTTTTTTTTCAGTTTTTTTTCAGTTCTATTTCACTCTAATTCAATCTAAACTTCTGTCCTGTTATCAGCTTATCAGTCACCAGTGAAGCACTTTGAACTGCAGTAACTCCTATAAAAGGTCCGATACAAATAAAAGTCAACTGATAGATTTATATATATATAAATCCAGCTGCTGGTTTAATGTCTGCATCTGAAGGTCTCGTGTTTTATGATTGTAAATGTGGAAAAATGATAAAGTGCAAAGAAATGAGGAATAATAGATGTTACATGAACGTAATAAAGAAAAACCTGCAACTAAAGGAGACAATATAAATCCACTTTTAGCTTGTATTTAACAATTTAACAGTTATATTACTTATAAAAGTCTACTGTTCCAGCTGCTGTGTGAAGATCAGCCATGAGTCAGTAAATAACTCCTGAAAGCAGTAAAATCCTGAAATATAAGAACTTATAACAACACACTGAGACGAGCTGATGAGCTTTTCTGTCACCAGATAATAAATAATCAGTGAAATGCTCCTTTAGCTGCAGAACTCTGAGTCGGTCTTTGTGTCTGCAGGACTTCCTGGTTCGGTGAAGACGTTGCTCTGCAGCGCCGCCGCCGGCTTCGTGTTCGGAGAAGCTGTGTTGTTCGCGGCCGAACCTGCTCTGACCCAAGATGGCGTCCTGCTGGGCGCCGCCACGCTGGCCGCGGGCCGGGCCGGGTCCACGGGCGTCACGGTGGTGTCGGCGTGCCTCGTCTTCACCTCGGCGCTGCTGTCGCTGGGCAGCGGCTTCCTGCTGGCCGCCGCCACCATGAAGCTGCTGGGTCAAGCCGGGGTGAGGCTGCCGTGGCTACCGGAGGCCCTAACGGGGGCCTCGGTGGTTCTGGGCGCCGTCGTCACCGGAGCGCTGGCCGGCCTCCTGCCACCGTGGATCTACGGAGCAGCTCAGGCCGCCCTGGTTCTGTTCGTCTACTCGTACTCCAACATCAGCGACATGACCACGGCCCTGCTCATCATCTTCACCACGCTGCACCTCAGCGTCGCCTACGGCCGGATGGGAGTCTTCGCCGGGCTGTTCTGCATGGTTCTGACCGTCACGGTGCTCCTGGTCCTCCGAAGAACCTTCACAAAGCGTCTGACCCGAAGACCTGCGTCCAAAGGCGGCTGCAAGCTGCTGGAGAGGATCGTCTTCTACTCCGTGTTTGTGGGCGTCCTGGGTTTCTGTGTGGGTCTGGGGGCAGGCGAGACGGGAGACGGGTCGGAGGCGGAGGTGGTTCTGATGCTGCAGTCGGTGCTGTGGGTGGCGTTTCTGTCCGCGGGGCTGCTGGGTGCCGGTCTGGGGACGGTGGCCGTGGTGAGTCTGGGTCCGGAGGCGGCTGGGAAGGTGTCGGTTGGAGCTGCTGCGCTGACGGCGGCGGCTCTGAGGCTCGTCCTGGTCTGGAGCTCCTCTCTGGAGGCCCGCAGCTGCACCGGAGCTGCACTGGGGGCGGCTGCAGCTGCAGGGGTGTCGCTTGGTGCTGCGAGTGTTGCGGCGAAACTCGCGTTCGGGTCCAGAAATTCAACTTTAATGGCTTTAGGTTCAGTTACAGCCGGTGTGGTTGTTGCCGTGAAAGTTGTGGCGCTGAAGCCGACCCCGCTGACGACCTCAGAACTGATCACGGCGAGCCTCGTTGCGGCGGGGGCGTTTGTTCTGGGCGCACCGAAGAGCCCGTTCAACACTCAGGTGAATCTGCAGGGGGGCCTCCTCACGGGGACGGAGCTAATTAAAGGCATCGGCATGGAGACGGTCACCGCGGCAGCAGCGCCGATCGGAGCCGGGGCGCTGGGGGCGGCGGCGTTGGGCACCGCGGCCCTGGGGAGGCTGGGAACGCTGGGAGTAGTGGTGGCCGTGCTGCTGGCTCTGGGAAGCGCTCTGAGTGGCATGATTGGAAAATCACCACCGACAACACAAGAGCACAGAGACTGATTCACATCCGCTGGTCGCCAACACAACACGGGATGAAGTGGATGTAGAACAGATGGAGGACGACATCACTGACGTCTGAAATGATTCAAAACTGCAGGATTTCTGATGAGTTTTGCTCCTTTATAGAATCAAATATTTTAGAAAGACGATCATTAAAGTTCAGGCCCCAAAGTAGAAACTCAAAGCAGCAGAAGTGAGTCCAGCTCTGATCACCAAAGAACATGAACAGAAGCCTGATGGATGCTGGAGAACGTTCTCTGGTCAGATGGAGATCAA